AGTGGACTCGATTTGCACTATTTCTAGCAGTCTGCAAAGGCCCTAAGTATACATATACACATAATAGCCAGCGTGATGTAATGGTCTGAGTGTTGGATTATGACTTTGGAGATCAGGGTTCGTTTCCCCGCTCGGCCATGGAAGCCCACTGAGTGACCTTGAGTGAGTGACACACTCTCAGCCCCAGAATACCCCATGATAGGTTTGCCTTAAAGTCAGCATAAATTGGAAACATCTTGATATACATACATGGACATACATGACTGGTAAAGCTAGGTCAGAAAACTGCCTGGTATCAGCAAATGTATGCACACTCTGAACCTGTCCCAGTGCTGGTTAGTATATGGGATCTTGTTAATTAGAACAAGCCGTTGCCAAACCTTTGCTCTATTATTCAGAAAGGAGCAAAACTAAGGGTTCCAAGAAACTGGTTGTTTAACATCCTCTTGAAAGGTCAGCAACCAAGGGCAAAACCAGAGATACCACTACATGGAAACCTTGCCTTCGACATGCAAATCTGTTTGTTCTATATGTCGAGATGTCTGGGGTAATTCATACAACTTGGAATTTGGAACAATCTAACCACCCACCCTTGCTGCAGTTCTAGCATTAACCATTCCTCTGAAGCTACTATTTGAATTATCAGGAAAACTGCTAGCAGTGCAAACTTTCCATTTTTGTCAGGACAGCAGGAATTATGAAGTAATGATCAGCACTTCACTCACCCAGCCTCTTGTAGAGGCTGCTATTTACATGTTTCAAAAGGCATACATATCCTTGGCACTTTTTACATGACAACTACATGAAAACTGTGCCCATATCTAGAGTGCGTACATGGGCCTTCAAGTCACCTTTCGACTTATGGCAGCTCCATGAATTTCTTACGAAACTCAGAGGTGGTTTTACCAGTTCCTTCCTCTGAAATATAGCCTAAAGCAGGGGTCGGCAACCTAAGGCCAGCCCCTGCCCAGTCCTGACACCGCCGCTGCCTTTCACGGCTGCGGGGATCCTCCGGGGCGCCATTTTGGATTTGCGCCCAGAGGCCCAGCGTGGTTGAAGGAGCCCTCCTGGTAGTGCGCATGAGATAGAGAGCGCCACCGTGGCGCGGGGGGCATCGGGGGACAGGGGGACCAGCCCCACCTCCAAAAAGGTTGCCGACTCCTGGCCTAAAGCATCTAGCATTTGTTGGTGGTCCCTCATCCAAGTACTAACCAAGGCTGACCCTATGTAGGTTCCAAGATCAGACAGGAGGGCTAATCTTTCAGATGTCTCCATATCTGGAGAGACAAAGCCAAATGTGCCGAAATCCCCCGCATATATCTAGGATCCCTGGCCTTTCTGATCTATTAAAGCAGCTGGAGGTAGGGGTGGGAAGGTTATCCAGATGCTTGCTAATCAGATTTAAATCCTGCTCATAGGACAGATACAGCTTTGGTTACATTGATGGATTATCTATTCTAGGAATC